ACAATTATATTATGTTTCAATAAAATAGTATTGACATTTTTGTGCGAATGCCAAGTAGCGCGGATCGGTGGGTCACAGAATTCGTAAACTAAGCCGATTTTGGAGCCTCAACCCACGGTCTATTAATAGCTCTATGGTCTACACACTTCAAATGCTGATAAGCGGGGGGTGAAGAAGGGTAGGTAACAGAAAAACAAAAACAAACAAACAAACAAACAAATCAAAATAACATTTCAAAAAATTAATTTATTAAAAAAATATATATATTTTAGGAGTTGATAAGCAAACCACACCTCGCCTACGGCTATCTATTCTAAAAGTGACAATGGGCATTTTTAGGCCTTAAGTATTTCTTAGATTTTTTTTGGATGACTAAAACTAGAACTACATTTTGAGAAATTTACGCCTACGTTTTGATACATTAGACATTGAATTTTGCAATTACATTTTGATTTTAACATGGACTGTTAAAATAGGAAACAAATGTTTGACACATCTCTTCCTCCCAATCTCACTCTGATAATACTTTCTTCACACACAAATTGAATTACGACTATTTAAACATAACTATACACACAAAATACCTGTCTCTTATACACATCTAGATGTGTATAAGAGACAGGGTTATTCCACAGTTTGGGTCCGAAATTCGAGAAAGATCTGTCTCAAAGGTGGTAATAGTACGTGGAACATAGAGCCTGGTAACATCAATGGACGACCTAAGACCATTTCTACCTGGCACATGCCTTCTAAGGAAATCTTTGAGATACAACGGTATATTATTGTTTCTTTTATTGTGATTGTGTTTATATATTGTTAAAAGCTTTTTTATCAAAGTGTAATTTTAAACTAGAATTACTCTTTTTACAGTAGCTTTGAAGTAACAGCTTTCCTACCGTATAAATTTCTTTAACGTTTAGGTGTGTGCGAAAAATTGTAAACATAATCACCAGACCTCCTCAACAAAAAAGCCATTTAAAAAAAAATTTTATTTTGAGGTCATGCAACCTCTTTTAAAGTACATGACAATACAAATATTATCATAATGATCAGCATGCTACATTCGTCATGCTCTTGAAATATCCTGTTAAATAATAAAAATATATTGTTATTTGGAAACTATGTTGAAATTCAACATTCAAGAAGTATTTATTTGTGTCCTTTCGGAAAATCAGATGGTACCATACATCGCAGTAGTAGTGCAATTAGAACACACACAAGAACAAAAATAGAATTAAATTTAAAATTTGCATCTAGCTAAAATTACTTTTGGTTGTTAAGTATTCTAATGGATAGCGGTACAAATGAGTAGCTGTTTTACAGGATTGTGATTTTAACCTTTTACCAGAACCTTCAATATCACAAGCGCGTTGTTTGAGAATATCAAATGGGAAATTATTTTTATTACTTGGGAGTGAATATGTACCTCCAATTTACAACCGTGAACTTCACAATGCTGAATATAAAGCATTGGCTTTGATAAATCATCTCAATTACTTGACAAACACCAAGGTTTTAGAAACTATAATGAACCATATATATTCCATCTGAAAAATAAATTGAGAGGAGGAATGAGGCCCTTCCATAATATTTTTGACTGACATAAACTATTGCAGGGGTTTCCCTAAAGGTTTATTTTAACTAGCCAAGTGGACCAGTAAATTAATATTTTTACTGGTCCTCAATCCCTTTCACTAGCCACTATCTTGCCAACTTCGGAAGGCCCAAATAACATATTTGTGACATGCTATCTAATAAATGCTGCCCATCACCGATGAAGTAACACTGACAGATACAGCAAAATCGTTCTGTTGTCTCAGTATGAAATTATGCCGTGAAATATAAATACAGGAATCTGTTTGTACTGTACGTACAGAGCACTCTTGGGTAGGTAACAATTGACGACTGAAGAAGCCAAAAAAAAAAAAAATAATAATAAATCAAATTAAATTTTAAAAATTATTTAATTAAAAAAAAAATTTAAATTTTTAAATAATTTTGAAAATCAGATAAAAAAATTTATATTAGGATTTTATAAGAAAATCACACCACGCCATGGCTCCAATCTATTCTAAAAGAGACAATGGGCATTAAAAATAGATCCACGCTCTGACACATTTTGGGACCATGTAAAGTATTTCTTACAGATTTTTTGGATGATAAGTTTGGTTGCCAAGTACACATTTTCTTGTCACAAACAAATACAATTCATATAATAGGACTAAACTATTAACTATAAACTGTTTTATCTTATTTAAGATATTTTAGTCTATAGCATTTTGTTTGAATTATAAAAATCTAATGACATGAATAATTTTGCTCACAATTTATCACTGTTTGAAATAGGTAACAAATGTTTTGACACATCTCTTCCTCTCAATCTCACTCTGAATAATACTTTCTTCACACACAAATTGAATTATGACTACAGTATTTAAACATAACTATACACACAAAATACGATATCAATATATAATTTATAGATACAACATTTGAAGCCTATTTGTGAGGCATCAAAGACTAGACTCTGGCAAGAACATTGGATAAGGCTTGATTCATATAGCCTTCTGTTTATTTTTGAAAGGTCATAAAAAATATCAGTTATAAAGCCAAAGTATAGTTTTGGTAAACCATGAAAAATTGTAAAATTCCTAATTGGTGTTATTAATAGAGCTTTATGAGCTCTAACAGCCTTGTGTATTATTTTCTTCAAAACCATCAATTTTTGGTGCAATTAGCAAAAAATGTAAAATCTTGGGATTCCCCAGAGATTTTAACCATAGATTTGTGTACATAGCTCCCTAGTTGGAGGAAAGTTGGGATTCCCGATGGTTTATTTTTACAGGAGAAAGGAAAAAAAATCATATGGATAATATCATCAGAATTCTGCTAAGAATAATGCTAAATAATGCTAAAACGGTCAAAATTCTGCTAAGAAGCAGAATTCTGCTAACTCTGGCAACTATGCTTGTTGTAAACATCGGGACGAGTCGCGCCTCCTAAACTTTGCCTGCTAATTGGTAAATTGTTTTCGTGGGGTTATGTGGCTGGGCAAATGTCCCATGTGCTTAGGTGTGATGACGTCAGATCGCCCGAAAGTTTCAGAGTGCGTGACAGCTTGCTGACAGGAACAAGATTTGTATAAACCGATAAATTTTTAATTAAATATATTTATTAAAACAAATAAGAAACCCTCATGGTTAGAGTCAAATCTAAAAAATCTAACAAATTTAAATTTCATCTGCAAATTTCCTCCATAATTAGCAACATTTTTGAGGAATGAGTGAAGCAATGCATTTGTAATTTACATGTAGACTGATATGAATAACATACCAAACTCCAAATTAAACATCGAGTTCCTTTTTCAATTCAGATTGATTACAATCGATTTTTAGGATTCATAAGGCAATAATGCACTTTATTAAACAATGGAAGGCGTAACTTTAACTTTATCTAACATTTTACTGGTGTGTCGTTTTAATTAACAGATATTATCTCCATGCCAAAAGCTATTGGGACTGTGCTAGCTGTACGAACAGTTCATTCACAGGGTGTTTTGCTAGGCCAAGTTTTTAAATTCTTGACAGCGATGATTATTGCGTTATTTCATCAAGAAATCGTTGTTTATAAACTTTTTGTCCTTTCTGCATTGTGGGATGAGTACATGACATGGATGTTGTAACTTTGCGGTGCTCACACAGAGGGAAATCAACCCTCTGTGTGAGCACCGCTGTAACATGTGACAAGCAGAGGCTGGAGATGGTGACTTCCCTCTGTTCGTCTAGCCATGGATTCCTCCCTGGGGTGGATGTAGAGGGGGTGCAAACGGTGCAGTTGCACCCCCTTAAATAATTGTTGTATTGTATTGTTGAAAGGTATGAGAGTCCAAATACGGACACCTAGACGCAGGCGCAGATCCAGACCTCTTCGCACTGTTCACCAATATAAAGTGATAGCAGTGCCTGGTGGTCTTGCGAATTCCAACTCTTTCTGTCAGAAATGCCACCTACCTAAACCAAAGACAAAAATATGTTGACAAAATTAACTTTTTTAAATAAAATTATTTTAATTATTACTTTTTGATTAATTATTATTTCATTATTTTAACGAATGCTACTCGTTAAAAAAAAAACAAAGTCTTTAATGGAGTTGGTAGTTTAAAACTTATGAACGCACTTTGATACAGTACATCTAAAAAGAAAGTCAAAAATGACCACCGGGCATTGAGAGACTGAAAATGAACGCGGAAAGAAGAGCAACGACGTGAATGGTATGTAAATTTCAAATCACACAGCGTTGGAAGTGTAAAAAGCATTTTTTTTTAAATACTGAGAAAGTAAGATATCTAATAAGCGTACAATACTGCATTAATTGGAAAGTAAAATGTAAAGTTTCCAAGCCTGTGCAGTACATGGGGTGTTACTAGTGTGATAAGGTGTGATTTGATAAGGTCCAAATTTCCTAGACAGTCAAAAATGTACTGAATATAAATTTGTGCTTTTCTGTGATTTAAAAATAAAATTTTCAATTTTTACATTTTAACCAGTAGGCCTAAATCTACACTGTCTGTCGTGAAAAATGCATTTTCTTCAATTTTGAAATTTTGGCTTAGGGGCACCCTGTGGATGTAATCTATCATGGAACGTGATCATATACTCCAAACAATGTTTTGAAATATGAAATTATTATGAGAGTTATGCACTATATCCGACCGTCCACCCACTAAGCATTGAAACGTTCAATCAACCAAACATAGAAGACATTTATGCATAATTAATTGCTTTCCCAACTGGTGGCGGTACAATAAAAATGCATTATTTTTTCTTTTTTTAAGATTAATTTTAGAACCGCATTATTAACAAGATTATTAGGTTAATCATTCCACGTCGGCGCGTTCACTAAAAACATATTTTTTTATTTATTTTTTTTATTGAAATTGGATTTAACATTTACTGATTATAAAAATTGTAGATAATTACTGTTGTCCGATTGTGTGCATTGGATAATTGACGACGAACTCGGGATACGGGCCTCTGTACTATGAATTCAGTGTGTATTCATTCATCAATAGAAGTCTCTCTCAGCATCTAGAAAACAAAACTTTCCGAAGCTAGGAGAACCCCAAAACTACCCCAAACCACCACTACCCTTCCCCCCCAGCCCCACGTCTAAAATAGTCTTCAGGGACGGAACAAGCAAACATTACGTTCTCTTACTATGACCCTGCCCACTAAGGGAACCCATATGTGCGATAGTCAGGGTAAAGCTCGGTTTCCATAAAATCGCTCACTTTGTCGGCGACTGTCGCCGAACAAATTTTCGTTGCTGAAAAATTTTAAGTTATTTTAGACCCAGGTTGGATCATATTCATTCAACATTATTTTGTTTTCCATTTGACAGAACAACCACAAATGTAGGAACTTGACAATACTAAAACCCACCCATCCCTGGATTTACACGTCAGTAATGCATAGAAATAAATAACAAGTTAAAAAATTTGCTGATTTTTTATTTATAAAATCAAAAACACCATGTTTATATGTATGAAAGCAATATACAGCTGAATTCGTTATGTAAATAAAATAAAAAAAGTTTGATTGAGAAGTTGTCAGTATAAAAGCAACATACGGTTGAATTCGTTATGTAAATAAAATTTTAGAACCGCATTATTAACAAGATTATTAGGTTAATCATTCCACGTCAGCGCGTGCACTAAAAACATACTTATTTATTTATTTTTTTTATTGAAATTGAATTGGAACATGTGTATAATGATTGTGATGAACAATCATAATTCTCTGCACTATCTATTAAAGATTTAAAGAATGGACTTCCTTATGTTGTGGTCATAGAAACTGTAATATTTTTAAACAAACAACATTAAAAACAAAATTCCCACATCGGTGCTTGCATAAAATGTATAATTTCCTGAAAACTGACAGAGCGGACTTTCTTATGATTTTGGCCTAAGGAAATATAAATGTATATGGGGTCTGAACTTCGTAGGTGACAAAGGGTTCTTCCTTTGTTGTGGTCATATTAGAATATATCATTAAAGACCATTCAACAAACAACATGAAACATATATCAAACTTTTACTTTCCGCTTCCAAGCATGAATATAACATAATTTTTTAGATATATGATATTTTTATGACAGTCAAGAAAGTACTGATAAATATAAATTGTAGATAATTACTGTTGTCCGGTTGTGTGCATTGGAAAATGTGACGACAAACTCAGGATAGGGGCTTTTGTTGATACTCATATCAGAGGGCCTGTTAATTAACCTTGCACAGGAGTCTGTTGTCACCTGCTACTATGCATCTTTCTCCTCCTTATCATCATCACATCATCAATTATTGTCTATGGTAGTAGAATGGGGGAAAACTTTGATTCATTCATCAATAGAAGTCTCATAATGCAAGTGCATTTCTCAGCATCTAGAAATCAAAACTTTCTGAAGCTTGGAGAACCCCAAAACTACCACAAACCATCCCTTCCCACCAGCCCCACGTCTACAATAGTCTTCAGGGACGGAACAAGCAAACATTACGTTCTCTTACTATGACCCCGTCCACTCAGGGACCCCACATGTGCGATAGTCAGGGTAAAGCTCGGTTTCCATAGAATCACTCACCTTGTCAGCGCAGGTCGCCGACAAATTTTTTTTGCCAATATATTTTAAGTTAATTTAAACCCAGGCTAGATCATATTCATTCAACATTATTTTGTTTACCATTTGACAGAACAACCACAAATGTAGGAACTTGACACAAGTAAAACCAACCCATCCCCAGCTTTTCGCGTTAGTAATGCATAGAAATAAATAACAAGTAAAAAAACTTTTATTTTATTTATAAAATCAAAAACACCATGTTTTATGTATGAAAGCAACATACGGCTGAATTCGTTATGTTAAAATAAAATTTTAGAACCACATTATTAACAAAATTGTTAAGTTAATCATGCCATGTTAGCACGTGTACTGAAAACGTATTTATTTATTTGTTTTTTTTATTGAAATTGGATTGGAACATGTGTATAATGATTGTGATCAGGGATGTCACCACGCTGGTCGGCGGTGGACGGGCCCGTCCAGCACTCAACATTTCCGACCAGGATTTACAGGCTCCCGACCACCACTATTATTTCAACAGTTTACAATTTGTAACAAAATAATTAGTTTACCTAAACACAATAGACAAGCTAAAAGACAATAAGAATACAATAAATGTTTCCGTGGTTACGTTAATTCATGCTGCTATTCATCGCTAACTTAACAGCCTAGGCCTAGGTCCAGTTGAGTCATAGCGAACATCGTGGGCTTGCATGACACGGTTGCTCTGTACACATTCAAAGGTTAAAGTTGAAATCGTGACCATTCAAGTGTTTTATTATGAGATCATGGTCCGGGGCAGGAAGATTATTAAAAATTTACGAAACCTGATTTATGTTTTATTTCTTTACTTTGTTTTCATTTTGTATTTTAAGTTTTTCACTTTTAATTATAATTGATATTTAATGCATGTAAATGGACAAAAAATAAATAAATGAGTGCACATGAATCAGTGACATACACATTCATCGTGGTAATCGTCAAACATGTGAAATTACGGCAAACAATGCGGCTGGTTGGTGGTACCCTAACCCCTGGGAAAACGCGGAATGATCGCCGACCGGCACTTCAAAAAGCTGGTGACATCCCTGATTGTGATAAACAATCATAATTCTCTGTAGTATCTATTAAACATTTAAAGAATGGACATCCTTATGTTGTGGTCATATACACTGTAATAATTTAAAAGACGACGATTTAACAAACAACATAAAACAAAATTCCCACGTTGGTGTATCTATAAAATGTATAATTTCCTGAAAATGGATAAAGAGACTTTCTTATGATTTAAGCTAAGGAAATATAAACGTATATGGGTTGGAACTTTGTAGGTGACAAAGTATTTTTCCTTATGTTGTGGTCATATTAGAATGTAACATTAAAGACCATTCAGAAAGCAACATGTGACATATCAAACTCTTACGTTAAACTTTCCACTTCCGAGCATGCATAATGTAAATTTTTTAGATATATAATATTTTCATGACAGTCGAGAAATTACTGATTATATAAATTGTAGATAATTACTGTTGTCCGATTGTGTTCATTATCATCATCACATTATTAATTGTCCATGGTAAAATAGGGGGAAACTATAAATTCAGTGTGTATTCATTCATCAATATAAGTCCCGGAATGCACTTAGGTGCATTTCTCAGCATCTAGAAAAGCTAAGAGAATCCCAAAACTACCGCAAACCACCCCTCTCCCCCGCCAGCCCCACGTCTAAAATAGTTTTCCAGCGATGGAACAAGCAAACATTACTCAGGGACCTCATATGTGCGATAGTCAGGGTAAAGCTCGGTTTCCATAGAATCGCTCGCCTTATCGGCGACAGTCGCCAACAATTGTCAGGAAAGGTTGAACCTGGTTCAACTTTTCCGATTGTGTTGCAGACGCAGACGAATCAGGGTACATTGCTAGCTGCCCTGCGCAATCTGGAAAGCACCCCGATTCGTCTGTGAACAACAACTGTCGCCGATAGGGCCAACGATTATATGGAAACCAAGCTAGAACTATAGATCTGCGACTGAGAGGTCCCTATTGTCAAAATTGTCTATTCCCTCAGACCCAACCATGGTGGTGGCAGTGAGGTGGACCCTCACACACCCGCTACCGCCAAATCCTGCATCCGCCCATCCTTCATGATCTAGCCAGTGCGTGATGTTCATCTGTTCACCTTGAAAGACTGAGCCCAAGACCTTGAAATACCAAAGCCTGACAAATATCATGACATTAAACAGAAAATAGCGATCTTGTTGACATATCTGTGTGAAATATTTTGTAAAGACATCGTGTGAATGAGTAAATAAAACCTTAGATATTTTGGAAGAATTTTATTGAAATTTTAACTGGTCACACAGACTTGTTATTGGGATAATTAACACGTCCG